TTATCTGCCAGCTTACGGTGATTAACAGTTTCCAAAATTCTCTTGCCTCCATCTTCATTTTGGCACTTGCTACTTAGAGACAGAATCTAACTCTGAATGATGGCTGGTTGTCTTCCAAAACTGGGGATAAAAAGCCAACTCGCTTCAGCCACGAGTTGCCAGAGTTTGGCCGGTGCCTGGTGATAGTTTCCCTTCCTGCAGCCATGTATTCCAGATGTTGAAGATTTGAATCCAATGCGTGACCTCGTTGCATGTCATCCCTTCTCTCGCTGCTGGGTTTTTCCTTTCCTCGGTTTTTAGTCATTCTTTCCATCCTCTCCGCAACACGCAACACAGTTCTGTGAATGTGATGAGTGCAGTGCTACATGTTCATAGGTGTTCAAAATGATGCAGAAATAAGTCCGAATGATAGATTTTGTGGACGATCTGGACAGATGTTGACCCAGATTCCCAATTGTTGAGTGCTATACTGTGCCTTGAAATATTTGGTAACAACTTCTTTGAAATGTGTCTGTAGCTTTTGTCAGTGGCTTTTGTCCATTTATCAGGAGCTTTATTATTTTAAACTCTTTGTGAACAAGTGGTTTCCTTTTGTAGGACAAACGTTTTGACTGAATTGGGGTTTTTATTGATGGTTACGATAAGTAAAAAGATAGAAATATCAACACATCTCTTGTTTTTAAATCAGAAAATGATGATTTATGGTTAAATGTGGTGCGATTCTCTCATATTTTTACTCAAAGGTGCCGTAGGATTCTATATGTTTGTCATTTTCAACAAATCCAATGCAAGAACCTCATTGAATTGACCGAATAACAAGTATATTTCATGCATCAAAGCTTGATATATCTTCATCTCCTGAGCCATATAGCTTCATTAGTGCCTAAAGCTGGCTACACACCAACCCGATTTTGGGAGTCAGAGGCCGTCAGAGGCAGTCGGGCATTCGCGGCGCCCTACTCAGGTTGGTGTGTCCCGCACCGTCGTCTCTTTACGGCACCTTCTCACACCTCCCGATGCCTCCCGACTTTCTCTGACCTCCCGCGGCCTCCCGACTTTCTCTGACCTCCCGCGGCCTCCCGACTTTCTCTGACCTGAGGTCAGAGAAAGTCGGCCCAAGCAATCACTCTGATTGGCTGTTCACACTACCGCTGCCTGCTGGTAAGGACAGTTATTGCCACTCGTCGACTGAAGTATTTGCGGTGTGTTCGTAGGCGGGCGGCGTAGGAGGGGCGGCGTAGGCGGGCGGCGTAGGCGGGCGGCGTAGGAGGGGCGGCGTAGGCGGGCGGCGTAGGCGGGCGGCGTAGGCGGGCGGCGTAGCCGACGCAGGCGGCGTAGCTGACGTAAAAGTCGGGACGCCTTCGGTACGCGTTCTTTGGTCTCAGGTGGGTGTGTAGCGGCCTTTACAAGGATTACATGAGCCACCCTGTGACATGTACCTTTATTATCATAAACACACACCGTTGCTTAATCATGTCTCTGTATCACTACTCATTTCCTCAAAGGCTTGAACCAGATCTTTCTGGCTGATGTCTTGTGTGGTATTTGGCAACGGGAGGAGGTGAAATCTCTCCTTTTTCTTTGAGATCATCCTTTGAAAAGCTCTCACTATTACACACAACATGCAGGCAGTTTAAAGAAAAGCAATAATGAATGGGCTTTCCCTTTAAAGCCGGTGGTGTCACATAGCTTACATCAGCTTCATTAGACTCCCATTAGTATGTTAACCTTCACACTAATGATGGTAACCTGATTACAGCTGCTGGAATGATATCATCCTAGCTGCTCTTATCTGATCATGATGGTAGGAGGAACACATTTTCTAATTTGCCTTTGTGCGTGGAAGGTCAAGTGGTTGTCATTTCACTAGCAAGGACCACGCAGCAACAATATCTGAGTCAAGGACGTCATTACAGGAGGTTGTGGATGTTAAGCACTGATGAATGTGAAGGGAAGGGATGAAGACGAGTGAGGGATGTTGTCTAAACGATCAGATCTGAATAAGAGCGATGACAAGCGATGCCTTGGAATTAGACCGGGAAAAGATAGGGAAGAGAGGAGGGAAGGGATGTAAGGGGAAGGTGGGATGTAGTCAGGAAGGGATGGGTGACTGGCAGGGAGGAAAGGGACTGAGAGGTCAAAGGAAAGGAAGGGTATTAGGGAGAGAAGATTGGTCAAAGGCATGTAGAGAAAGATCTAGGGAGGAAGGGATTTAGGGAAGGAGAGATGAAGGGATGAAGAAAGGAAGGAAGGGATCTAGGGAGGGAGGGATGAAAAGTAAAATGGATATAGGGATGGAGAGAGGAAGGGAGGAACACATGGACGAAGGAGTGAGGGATGAAGGGATGTTAGGAGGGAGAGATGAAGGGATGTTAGGAGGGAGAGATGAAGGGATGTTAGGAGAGAGAGATGAAGGGATGTTAGGAGGGAGAGATGAAGGGATGGGGCGCCGCGGCTGCAGGGCTGTTCGGCGCGCGCGCTGCCGGGGCATGTTAGGGCGGGCGCGCTGCCGGGCTGTTCGGACGGGCGCAGCTGCCGGGCTGTTCGGCGGGCGCGCTGCCGGGCTGTTCGGCGCGCGCGCTGCCGGGCTGTTCGGCGGCGCGCTGCCGGGCTGTTCGGCGCGCGCGCTGCCGGGCTGTTCGGCGGGCGCGCTGCCGGGCTGTTCGGCGGGCGCGCTGCCGGCTGTTCGGCGGGCGCGCTGCCGGGCTGTTCGGCGCGCGCGCTGCCGGCTGTTCGGCGGGCGCTGCCGGGCTGTTCGGCGGCGCTGCCGGGCTGTTCGGCGCGCGCGCTGCCGGGCTGTTCGGCGGCGCGCTGCCGGCTGTTCGGCTCGCGCCGCTGCGGCTGTCGGCGGGCGCGCTGCCGGGCTGTTCGGCGGGCGCGCTGCCGGGCTGTTCGGCGGGCGCGCTGCCGGGCTGTTCGGCCGCGCGCTGCGGGCTGTTCGGCGGCTGGCGGGCTGTCGGCCCGCGGGCCGCGTGCTCCGGCACGTCGGTTGGGCGGGCTGCCGGGTCGAAGGCATTAGGGATGTGAGGAAGATGGGGAAGGAAGGGCAAGGTAAAGGTAAACCAGGCTGGATGTGTTGACGGGAGCTCAGCTGGTGATCAGAGGTTTGGAACTGATCCCAAACCTTAAGGTAACTAATCACCTTCAGTTTGATTTGGGTTCATGTTTGGAGACACAGCAGTTTGTGTGTGTCATACGCCACAAGGACACCTGATCAGTTTCGCATCAGCTGCTTTGAGTTATTGAATGTTTCATTGGATTCAGCCTAACGGGATTATGGGTAAAACATGGCGACGAGCTGCGTACCAGATTAAGTGTGATCATGTTGTTAGAAAAGAAAAAAGACTCAACGCAGCTGCACGGATTTATTTTCCTCTTTGGAAAAAAGCTTGATTCAGACGGAAGGAAAACACACAACTCAACCTGTGTGTGTGTGTGTGTGTGTGTGTGTGTGTGTGTGTGTGTGTGTGTGTGTGTGTGTGTGTGTGTGTGTGTGTGTTTGTGTGTGTGTTACCATCATTAGTGTGTGTGTGTGTGTGGGTGGTGTGTGTGTGTGTGTGTGTGTGTGTGTGTGTGTTTGTGTGTGTGTATTACCATCATTAGTGTGTGTGTGTGTGTGTGGGTGTGTGTGTGTGTGTGTGTGTGTGTGTGTGTGTGTGTGTGTGTGTGTGTGTGTGTGTGTTTGTGTGAGTTTATGTGTGTGTGAGTGTGTGTTTTGTCGGACATGAAACAGAAGAACTGTGTCACAGCTTTTCCCCGCCTTCCTCCTGGCAGACTGGAGCGAGGGGACAACTCGGAAAAATCTGATCTTAAAAAAAAACGTGTGTGTGTGTGTGTGTGTGTGTGTGTGTGTGTGTGTGTGTGTGTGAGTGTGTGTGTGTGTGTGTGTGTGTGTGTGTGTGTGTGTCTGGCACATGTGACTATCCACTTCTCTGTCACTGTGTGTCTTGCTTTTTTCCATCCATTACTTTGTCCTTTGTCGGTCGGTGTGTAGATGGCTGTGTGTGTTTTTGCCATTTTCCATCTGTGTGTGTGTGTGTGTGTGTGTGTGTGTGTGTGTGTGTGTGTGTGTGTGTGTGTGTGTGTGTGTGTGTGTGTGTGTGTGTGTGTGTGTCCGTTCCCCACCATGTGGCAAAGACGTGACAAATCAAAGAATTGAAGGAACTTTTCTTCCTTTCTCTCGCACCTTTATCCCTCCACCTCTCTCTTTTCTCTTCATCTCTCTCTCTCTCCCCCTTCATCCTCCTCCCTCTCTCTCCCCTCTCTCTCTCCCCTCTCTCTCTCCCCCCCTCTCTCTCTCTTTTCTGTCTCTATTCCTCCCTCTCTCTCTCTCTTTGTCACCCTTTCTTTCTCTTTTTGTCCCACATTTCTTTTGCTCTCTCCCCTCTTCCTCACATTTCTTTTCCACCATCTGTTCTCTCTTTCTCCCACACTTTTTCTCTCACCTGTCTTTCTCTCCGGTGTACCTCCTCCCTAACTCTCTCTTACTCCCCCCCCTCATCTATCCTCTCTCAGTGCTTCACATTTTGTAAGTGTGCAGACTTCTTGTGTCCCGGTGACTTGCTCTATCTATGCTATTTCTTCCTGCCTAAGAAGTTATTGTGTGTGTGTGTGTGTGTGTGTGTGTGTGTGTGTGTGTGTGTGTGTGTGTGTGTGTGTGTGTGTGTGTGTGTGTGTGTGTGTGTGTGTGTGTGTGTGTGTGTGCGCGCGCGTGCGTGCGTGCGTGCGTGCGTGCGTGCGTGCGTGCGTGCGTGCGTGCGTGCGTGCGTGCGTGCGTGCGTGCGTGCGTGCGTGCGTGCGTGCGTGCGTAAGAGAGTAGTAGTAAGGGGGGGCGGGGTTTCTGCTTCACACCTCTGGTGACCACTTCCTCAGCAACATCCTGTTTATTTCCTGTTGCGATTGTGACTGGACGCCCTTTAGATATGAGCTTGTAAATGGAGTCAAGAAGTTAAAGTTATGAACACACACTCATGATCTTTCTCTTGTGTGTTTTCTCACAGGATGGCCACGTGAGGACACTTCCTGTCGGGACTCCGGCTGAAACTGAGCAGAGTAACAGGTAGCTGTCACTACACACACATGAGATTCACTGTTTCTATCAGAGGTTGCTTCAGCACAGCATGAGTCGTGTAACATGTGGGTGTGGTTTACAAACTGAGCGGCGTGTGTTTGGACCAAGAATGTTCCTAAAAAGCTCCGTTTTCCACACACACTGTGAATAAATCTAAAGGGTCACATGGTCAGGGTGAATCACGGTTAACCTTTGGCTGCTCTCCATACAGCTGGGGTATTTCCACTCATACATTTCAAATTCATGTTGTGTTTCCAAACAACATAAATCCACTTTAGAGAAATGTTCCTCTGTGAAATATGATTGGTATTTCAAAAACAGAGATTGTGTATTTAATCTATACACTTGTGTGATTTGAGTTTAGTGGTGCAGTGCAAGTTGCTTGTTGTTTTGATAAATCTTATCTTAAAGAGTCCTCTCCTGCTGATGTTCAGGTGTATATCAGTATATAGTGTCTCTACTTTAAAGAGTCCTCTCCTGCTGATGTTCAGGTGTATATCAGTTTGTAGTGTCTCTACTTTAAAGAGTCCTCTCCTGCTGATGTTCAGGTGTATATCAGTTTGTAGTGTCTCTACTTTAAAGAGTCCTCTCCTGCTGATGTTCAGGTGTATATCAGTTTGTAGTGTCTCTACTTTAAAGAGTCCTCTCCTGCTGATGTTCAGGTGTATATCAGTTTGTAGTGTCTCTACTTTAAAGAGTCCTCTCCTGCTGATGTTCAGGTGTATATCAGTATGTAGTGTCTCTACTTTAAAGAGTCCTCTCCTGCTGATGTTCAGGTGTATATCAGTTTGTAGTGTCTCTACTTTAAAGAGTCCTCTCCTGCTGATGTTCAGGTGTATATCAGTTTGTAGTGTCTCTACTTTAAAGAGTCCTCTCCTGCTGATGTTCAGGTGTATATCAGTATGTAGTGTCTCTACTTTAAAGAGTCCTCTCCTGCTGATGTTCAGGTGTATATCAGTATGTAGTGTCTCTACTTTAAAGAGTCCTCTCCTGCTGATGTTCAGGTGTATATCAGTATGTGTCTCTACTTTAAAGAGTCCTCTCCTGCTGATGTTCAGGTGTATATCAGTATGTGTCTCTACTTTAAAGAGTCCTCTCCTGCTGATGTTCAGGTGTATATCAGTATGTAGTGTCTCTACTTTAAAGAGTCCTCTCCTGCTGATGTTCAGGTGTATATCAGTATGTAGTGTCTCTACTTTAAAGAGTCCTCTCCTGCTGATGTTAAGGTGTATATCAGTATGTAGTGTCTCTACTTTAAAGAGTCCTCTCCTGCTGATGTTCAGGTGTATATCAGTATGTAGTGTCTCTACTTTAAAGAGTCCTCTCCTACTGATGTTCAGGTGTATATCAGTATGTAGTGTCTCTACTTTAAAGAGTCCTCTCCTGCTGATGTTCAGGTGTATATCAGTATGTAGTGTCTCTACTTTAAAGAGTCCTCTCCTGCTGATGTTCAGGTGTATATCAGTATGTAGTGTCTCTACTTTAAAGAGTCCTCTCCTGCTGATGTTCAGGTGTATATCAGTATGTAGTGTCTCTACTTTAAAGAGTCCTCTCCTGCTGATGTTCAGGTGTATATCAGTATGTAGTGTCTCTACTTTAAAGAGTCCTCTCCTGCTGATGTTCAGGTGTATATCAGTATGTAGTGTCTCTACTTTAAAGAGTCCTCTCCTGCTGATGTTCAGGTGTATATCAGTATGTAGTGTCTCTACTTTAAAGAGTCCTCTCCTGCTGATGATCAGGTGTATATCAGTATGTAGTGTCTCTACTTTAAAGAGTCCTCTCCTGCTAATGTTCAGGTGTATATCAGTATGTAGTGTCTCTACTTTAAAGAGTCCTCTCCTGCTAATGTTCAGGTGTATATCAGTATGTAGTGTCTCTACTTTAAAGAGTCCTCTCCTGCTGATGTTCAGGTGTATATCAGTATGTAGTGTCTCTACTTTAAAGAGTCCTCTCCTGCTGATGTTCAGGTGTATATCAGTATTTAGTGTCTCTACTTTAAAGAGTCCTCTCCTGCTGATGTTCAGGTGTATATCAGTATGTAGTGTCTCTACTTTAAAGAGTCCTCTCCTGCTGATGTTCAGGTGTATATCAGTATGTAGTGTCTCTACTTTAAAGAGTCCTCTCCTGCTGATGTTCAGGTGTATATCAGTATGTAGTGTCTCTACTTTAAAGAGTCCTCTCCTGCTAATGTTCAGGTGTATATCAGTATGTAGTGTCTCTACATTAAAGAGTCCTCTCCTGCTGATGTTCAGGTGTATATCAGTATGTAGTGTCTCTACTTTAAAGAGTCCTCTCCTGCTGATGTTCAGGTGTATATCAGTATGTAGTGTCTCTACTTTAAAGAGTCCTCTCCTGCTGATGTTCAGGTGTATATCAGTATGTAGTGTCTCTACTTTAAAGAGTCCTCTCCTGCTAATGTTCAGGTGTATATCAGTATGTAGTGTCTCTACTTTAAAGAGTCCTCTCCTGCTGATGTTCAGGTGTATATCAGTATGTAGTGTCTCTACTTTAAAGAGTCCTCTCCTGCTGATGTTCAGGTGTATATCAGTATGTAGTGTCTCTACTTTAAAGAGTCCTCTCCTGCTGATGTTCAGGTGTATATCAGTATGTAGTGTCTCTACTTTAAAGAGTCCTCTCCTGCTGATGTTCAGGTGTATATCAGTATGTAGTGTCTCTACTTTAAAGAGTTCTCTCCTGCTGATGTTCAGGTGTATATCAGTATGTAGTGTCTCTACTTTAAAGAGTCCTCTCCTGCTGATGTTCAGGTGTATATCAGTATGTAGTGTCTCTACTTTAAAGAGTCCTCTCCTACTGATGTTCAGGTGTATATCAGTATGTAGTGTCTCTACTTTAAAGAGTCCTCTCCTGCTGATGTTCAGGTGTATATCAGTATGTAGTGTCTCTACTTTAAAGAGTCCTCTCCTGCTGATGTTCAGGTGTATATCAGTATGTAGTGTCTCTACTTTAAAGAGTCCTCTCCTGCTGATGTTCAGGTGTATATCAGTATGTAGTGTCTCTACTTTAAAGAGTCCTCTCCTGCTGATGTTCAGGTGTATATCAGTATGTAGTGTCTCTACTTTAAAGAGTCCTCTCCTGCTAATGTTCAGGTGTATATCAGTATGTAGTGTCTCTACTTTAAAGAGTCCTCTCCTGCTAATGTTCAGGTGTATATCAGTATGTAGTGTCTCTACTTTAAAGAGTCCTCTCCTGCTGATGTTCAGGTGTATATCAGTATGTAGTGTCTCTACTTTAAAGAGTCCTCTCCTGCTGATGTTCAGGTGTATATCAGTATGTAGTGTCTCTACTTTAAAGAGTCCTCTCCTGCTGATTTTCAGGTGTATATCAGTATGTAGTGTCTCTACTTTAAAGAGTCCTCTCCTGCTGATGTTCAGGTGTATATCAGTATGTAGTGTCTCTACTTTAAAGAGTCCTCTCCTGCTGATGTTCAGGTGTATATCAGTATGTAGTGTCTCTACTTTAAAGAGTCCTCTCCTGCTAATGTTCAGGTGTATGTCAGTATGTAGTGTCTCTACATTAAAGAGTCCTCTCCTGCTGATGTTCAGGTGTATATCAGTATGTAGTGTCTCTACTTTAAAGAGTCCTCTCCTGCTGATGTTCAGGTGTATATCAGTATGTAGTGTCTCTACTTTAAAGAGTCCTCTCCTGCTGATGTTCAGGTGTATATCAGTATGTAGTGTCTCTACTTTAAAGAGTCCTCTCCTGCTAATGTTCAGGTGTATATCAGTATGTAGTGTCTCTACTTTAAAGAGTCCTCTCCTGCTGATGTTCAGGTGTATATCAGTATGTAGTGTCTCTACTTTAAAGAGTCCTCTCCTGCTGATGTTCAGGTGTATATCAGTATGTAGTGTCTCTACTTTAAAGAGTCCTCTCCTGCTAATGTTCAGGTGTATATCAGTATGTAGTGTCTCTACTTTAAAGAGTCCTCTCCTGCTGATGTTCAGGTGTATATCAGTATGTAGTGTCTCTACTTTAAAGAGTCCTCTCCTGCTGATGTTCAGGTGTATATCAGTATGTAGTGTCTCTACTTTAAAGAGTCCTCTCCTGCTGATGTTCAGGTGTATATCAGTATGTAGTGTCTCTACTTTAAAGAGTCCTCTCCTGCTGATGTTCAGGTGTATATCAGTATGTAGTGTCTCTACTTTAAAGAGTTCTCTCCTGCTGATGTTCAGGTGTATATCAGTATGTAGTGTCTCTACTTTAAAGAGTCCTCTCCTGCTGATGTTCAGGTGTATATCAGTCTGAAGTGTCTCTACTTTAAAGAGTCCTCTCCTGCTGATGTTCAGGTGTATATCAGTATGTAGTGTCTCTACTTTAAAGAGTCCTCTCCTGCTGATGTTCAGGTGTATATCAGTATGTAGTGTCTCTACTTTAAAGAGTCCTCTCCTGCTGACGTTCAGGTGTATATCAGTATGTAGTGTCTCTACTTTAAAGAGTCCTCTCTGCTCTGATTGGTTAGCTTGCCGGCTCTGTTGTGATTGGTCAACCGCTTAGAGATGTCCCGCCCCTTAGCCTATCACGTACAATGTGTTGGAGCGCAACCAATAGAAATGTGAGTGTTACATAGTGATGTCACCGTTTTCCGTATTGAGTTTCTTCACTGTTTAACATGAAGAATTATTTAGTAAAACTAGCTTTCCGTGTTTCTACAGGGTTGTAGAAATGGTTGTACTTGTTTCCCTGGAGTTTTTGGGTCTTTATTATGGAATAATCGTCTGGTTTCTGTTCTGCTTCCAGAGCAAAAATAATCCATAATCCAGCGAAATATAAAGAGAATTCCTTGAATCTAAATCGTTACAACAGCGGACAGAATATCAATGTGACCACAACCAAGAATGGAACAAGAAGTCAGCTGTAAAACACACACACGCACGCACACACACACACACACACACACACACACACACACACACACACACACACACACACACACACACACACACACACACACACACACACACACACACACA